TGATGCACAAAATAATAATAATAATAATAATAACGCAAGCAGAAGAGGGGATTGGGGTGCCAAGGATTTGCTTGGTGAACACATTTGCCCAAGTCTCCCCAGCCCTAAATGGAAAGTGCTTGTTTACCATCGCTGTAGGGGGGCTTTAAATGTCGCCTGAGAACTCCAGTGATTGGGCGCTTAGTAGTTCGGGGAGGCAGGCTGTGGCCCCTGAGGGCAAGGGGGGGTCAACTCCCACTACTAGCTGCTCTTTCACTTGCGCCCAACTTCCATTCGGTGGGCTCTGTTTCCCCTCGGATTTGGTACAGACCGAGTGCCATCCGCCTTGTTTGCTTTGCCACGTCTGAGCTGCATCCCGTGGTGGAAGCTGCCAGCGCTGGGCAGAGTTCCAGACGAAAGGGGCCGCGAGGCGCAAGCCGCGCTCCGCCGCGCCGGGCAGGGAAATGGAGCCGCGGCTCCTTTGTGGGCTGCTCCCTCCCCCACCCTGGGGCTCTAGGGGCACATTCGATCTGCGGGGTGATTGGTAAGTGCGGGCGAGGGGCCGCCATCCCTCCCTCTTTTGCCCTCCCCCGCTTTCCCTCCCACCTTTTCCTCCCTTCCCTCGCATTCTTCTCTCCTCCTCCCTCTCCACTCCCCCCTCCCTCCCTTCCTGCCACAATCGCTGCCCCGCGGCAAAGCCCTCCAGTAGGAATCTGCTTGCCCTGGGGGCGCCGCCTGTGCTCTCCGTGGTGCCCTTGCCCGGGTCCGAGTGGCAGATGCTGCGGGCGCCTCCGCGGGCCGATCCACGCGCCACGCTCTCTCGGTAAGTTGGGAACACTCGGGGACGCCGGGGCCAAGCAGCGGGCATTTTTCCCCCCGCTTCGAAGGGGGCACAGGCGCGGCAAGCTGAGCGCGCCCCACGGAGGGCAGCCACCCCTTAACTATCCATCCACGCTCACGTTTGCTCCTCTCCGGACCTTCCAAGCGGGCGTGGTCGGGATGGGCTTTCCGGGCTGGGGGCGGCCCACGCGCGAGCTGCGACTCGCCCGCGCCTCCATCTGCCAGCCGTGCCCAAGTCCCAGGGCGACAGCACTCAGCGTGGCCGGACACCCAGTATCCTATGGCTAAGGGGTCGAAGGACTGTGCTGGCGTCCAGTTGCCCATTTCCTGACAATGCGGGGACTCACGGAGACCCCTGATCTCCCCCAAAATAGTCCTTCTAAAATGGGATTCGCTCGGGCTGGGCAGGACTATGGGAAAGACGTGGAGATGGTGATGCCGCCCTGTCCGGCCTGCGAGCCTCCTAACCCGATGGTGACAGTTTGAAGGGCCGGGGTGCATGCTCCTTCACCCGCACCGCCCTTCCGTGGAACCCCGGGCGACCCGCTCCAAGCTCGATACAGTTACACGCGAGGGAGGCTCACGGCGTCCGCAATGAAACCTCCCTCGCCCTAGGGGGGAAAGGGAGCTTTTTCCTTATTTTAGCTCCCGCCCCTGCCATAGTTGGGTTCTCAGTTCACCCTGAACCTTTCCACCTCTTGAAATGCCGGCTTTTCTTCCGGTGACACTGGCGGCCCAAGGAAACTTACTTAAAAGTATTCGTCGGGTTACAGAGTGATTTGATCCCAGTCACTAGGCTTTAGAAACTAGTTGAGGTCGTTCGACACACAAGCAGGAGATGGGGAAGAATCCCCATAAGAAGATCTGCTACCACCACCACCCCCACCACCGCCACCCTCCCCCCCCTTATCCACGCAATTCCTTTATGCCAACGTTTTCAACAGCTCCAAATTCTCATCTCTCTTTCTCTCCTCTCTCCCACTCTTCCTCTTTCATTTTCCCCAATATTATCTGCGTCTTTAAGCACCAGCAAGACTGGCTGTCAAATACAGCCAGTATTTGAGAATGAAAACTCACATTGGATGTTTCACTTAAAATTAAACAGTGCCTTCATGTACAAGACTGCCATTACTGAAGTTTAGCTAGACATTTGTCTAATTCACATTAAGCACTAACCGGCTCTTTGAAAACCTGCTATTCAGAATCTCTGTGTTTTGTTTCTAATTATAGTTTCTTGAACTTCAGCAACTCAAGGCTTTCTTTGCTTGCCAAATATCCTCATTTATCCTATAAACCTCATTTCTAAGGCTATGTTGGCTTCTAGTTTAGTAAAATATTAACCTAATTAGCAAATGGTCCTTCAATGAACGACTGAATAACTAAATCATACCTCTCTGGTAACAATGCACTTTGAATATTATTTGGAAATTTGCAAAAATTTCACATGAAAGGAAGCCTAATTGTGCTCAGAATGTTGCATTGTCTTGAATCTGGTATTGATAACCTGCGCTAGAGTAGGAGGTCATCTATTTGTGCATCTGTCCCTCACCACTGTCCATTTCAAAGCTGTCCTACAGAACAGAAACCAAAAAGCAAACCTGGATGCTTGAGAAGGATAGAATCTTACTGAGGAAAAAAGAAAGATTTACAGAAGTGAAGGGGACTCCTGGTGCCCCATACAAAGCTTTTCTTGGAGGGAGGAGAAGGAAAGGGAGAAAATCGGGGGGGGGGGGGAAGATGCATAGAGTGTAGTCGCAGCCACAGGTTGCCTTCTGGTGAAAGTTTTTAACTACAAGTACCCTAACTGTTTCAAGGGAAGAAGGAGCTAGTATAAGGCCTAGAATCCGATGTTCTGGGCTTATGAGGGAAGGCTGAGAGAGATTGCAGGAGAGTTTCCATTCTCCAATGGCTGTGTTCCCATGTGTGATTCCCTAATGTGCACTTGTGTAGTCATTGTGACCCTGTGTGGACTCCCTTCTCCAGCCAGCCTGGGGTGGTAAAGTCAAATAATATGAGTCAAAGTGTTTTGCAGAGCAAAGGCATAATAAAACCAATTCTTTTCCTCCCTCTGTCATTCCTTCCTTACTTATTGTGGTTATTTCCCCCTTCCCATTAGAGGTAGCCCATGGCTCTTCCATTTAGTAAACAGATGCCACACTAAGGGAGTCTTGGATCCAGGGGGCTGTTAGGTGTTTAAAGATTAAAGGAATAATGAATAGACAATCAACACCTGGCCACCAGTAATGCTGTGGAAAGGTCATAGGGGCCCAAACTGAATGTCAATTCCAGAGGACTAGGAAACGGAAACAGAAGGTCTAGAAGGTAGTACCTGAAAACAAACCTGAGAAAGTAGGAATGCTGGGTCTCAGCCCATGACTTCTTTGATTTGTGCTTGCTTTCTGAGGAGTCACCCTTCCAGCACTGCTGTCCTCTCTCCACCTGCTTCAGTTGCCCCTACAGCCTACAGCCCAAGAGGCCTCAGCATCCTAAGGAGGGCTCCCACTCCCAGCTAAAACAGCCTGGCAGTACTTTGTAACACCCACTGGTCTTCTCCTTGCTCTAAGGCAGAAAACACACGTTGAAACCTCATTATCTGCCCAAATATAAACCTCAAAGTTAGGGGGAGGCTTTGATTTTTGTGTATTGTGGTTTAAAAGCTAACATTGAGGTAGCTTCCCAAGTGCAGTCTTATCTGTTTGTCAGGTTAACAGTCAGAAAGATATTCTTTCCAAACTGAAACAGCTCAGTATGTATGGTAGCAATCCTGTGGGAGAACTGTGCGTCCTCCTACACAGTCACACTGGGGCCCCATTAACCCTGTAGAGAACCTCAGCTAGGAAGCTGTGTGGCCCCTTTGATTCTTGTAGCAAACAGGAGTGCACGTGTACACACATACACACACACACACACACACACACACACACACACACACACACACACATAGAATCTTGGTGGGTAAATGTTGCCTGACAGCTTTGTAGAAGGGTCAGGTCATTGTCCTGATGCAGTGTGTAGGTGGGGGTGGGACTGGTGATAGCTACCACTAGCTCGGGCTTGGTGGAAGAGTTCTGATGTCCAGCACCTGAGCGGGGCGCTCGCTGGAGAAACCCTTGTGCGGCCGGAGCTTTACCCTGCTGCCAGCCAGGTTGGAGGAGGAGTAGTTGGGAAGCCACTGACGCAGCTGGGAATTGAGCTTGGCGAAGCTTTTCTCAGGGAAGGGAAGCATCTGCCCCACCCTCCCCCTCCCTTCCCCCTCCCCCCGCGCCCTCCTTCCCGTGCCTCCACCCCCCGTGACGTCACCAGCCCCGTCCCGCGGAGCCTGCGAAGCCGAGCAAATTCAAACTGCTAGACACACTGCTGCCGCCGCCACTGCCACCGGTTCAGCGGGTGGACGCCGCCGGCAGATCGATCCTGCCAGGCACCCCAACCTCTACACAATCGCACCCCCTAATCCGGGCAGCGAGGCTTCCTTAGGCTCCAAACTCCCTCTGCTCTCTTCCTCGCCTGGAGAATTTTGACATTTCTTGGCGCACCTCCCCCCCCCCCACTTCCAGTCAGATCAACCAAAGCCGGGCACCCCCCCCACCTCACCCCCGCCCCTTGAAGTGGCGTCTTTTTCTTTCTTTTCTTTTGTACGTTATTTAATTCCCTTGTTCTTCCTTTCTTTCCGAAGATGCTAAACTACTGGTGGACCGCAGAGGAGAGGAGTCCTGTCTTCTCCTGATGTGTGAGTATCCCCCCGCCCCCCAACTCCGACGTGGCCTTCAGAGCCCATCGCTACTCCACACGCGGGACCCCTTTGGAACTGCTTCCTGTTTCTCCCACCCCATTTTGCGTTATCATGGAGGAGAGGGGGGGGACTAAAGCCGGGACTTCTGCAAGCTTCCAGAAATCTCTTCAAGACCCCCGGGGGAGGAGGGGTCGGCTTGGATTTAGTAGGGACAATTACTAATGACACCAAGGCTGGCTGAGACAGGCTGGGAAATCAGGTGCCAGGCGTGTGTGTTCCGGGCCGCGTGGAGGAGGTAGCCCAGCGCGAGTGGGTAGGGAGAGGAGAGAAGAAACCGGTTTGGGAAAATGCAATGATTTCATTCTGTGCGCTGCCCACCCCTCTCGTGCTCCCCCTTTCCTTCCCTCTCTCCCTCCCTCCCACTGGCCTCCGCGCTTTTGCCTTGTTAATCGGGCTTCCTTGTCTCTCCCCTCCCCCGACGCCCCCCCTCCACCCCGCATCCCCACTCCCTCCCTCTGTCCTCCACTCAAGCTTTGCCTGTAGGTACCTGAGCTGCCATCGAAGGTGCCTAAAGATGCTGAGCGGCGTCTGGTTCCTCAGTGTGTTAACCGTGGCCGGGATCTTACAGACGGAGAGTCGCAAAACTGCCAAAGACATTTGCAAGATCCGCTGCCAGTGCGAAGAGAAAGAAAACGTCCTGAATATTAACTGTGAAAACAAAGGATTTACAACTGTCAGCCTGCTCCAGCCACCCCAGTATCGAATCTATCAGCTTTTTCTCAATGGGAATCTCCTCACCAGACTGTACCCAAACGAATTTGTCAACTACTCCAACGCCGTGACTCTCCACCTAGGAAACAATGGGCTGCAGGAAATCCGAACCGGGGCATTCAGTGGCCTCAAAACCCTGAAGAGATTGCACCTCAATAACAACAAGCTCGAGGTGTTACGAGAGGACACATTCCTGGGCCTGGAGAGCCTGGAGTACCTCCAGGCCGACTACAATTACATCAGTGCCATCGAGGCAGGGGCGTTCAGCAAGCTGAATAAGCTGAAAGTGCTCATCCTGAATGACAACCTTCTGCTGTCACTGCCAAGCAATGTCTTTCGCTTTGTCCTGCTGACCCACTTAGACCTAAGGGGAAACAGGTTGAAAGTAATGCCTTTCGCGGGCGTCCTTGAACATATCGGAGGCATCATGGAGATCCAACTGGAGGAAAATCCATGGAATTGCACTTGTGACTTACTTCCTCTCAAGGCTTGGCTGGACACTATTACTGTTTTTGTGGGAGAGATCGTCTGTGAAACTCCCTTCAGGCTGCATGGGAAAGATGTAACCCAGCTGACCAGGCAAGACCTCTGTCCCAGAAAAAGTGCCAGTGACTCCAGTCAGAGGGGCGGCCACAGTGACACGCATGTGCAAAGGCTGTCACCCACAATGAATCCTGCTATCAACCCAACCAGGGCTCCAAAAGCCAGCCGGCCACCCAAAATGAGAAACCGTCCAACTCCTAGAGTGACTGTGTCGAAAGACAGGCAGAGTTTTGGACCAATCATGGTGTACCAAACCAAGTCCCCTGTGCCCCTTACCTGCCCCAGCAGCTGTGTCTGCACCTCTCAGAGCTCAGACAATGGGCTGAACGTCAATTGCCAAGAGAGGAAGTTCACAAATATTTCTGACCTGCAGCCTAAACCTACCAGTCCAAAGAAACTCTACTTAACAGGGAACTATCTTCAAACTGTCTATAAGAATGACCTCTTAGAATACAGTTCTTTGGATCTGTTGCATTTAGGGAACAACAGGATCGCAGTCATTCAAGAAGGTGCCTTTACAAACCTGACCAGTTTGCGCAGACTTTACCTGAATGGCAATTACCTTGAGGTGTTGTATCCTTCCATGTTTGATGGACTACAGAGCTTGCAGTATCTTTACTTAGAGTATAATGTCATTAAGGAAATTAAGCCGCTGACCTTTGATGCTTTGATTAACTTACAGCTTCTGTTTCTGAATAACAACTTGCTGCGGTCTTTACCTGATAATATATTTGGGGGCACAGCCCTCACCAGGCTGAATCTCAGAAACAACCATTTTTCTCACCTGCCTGTGAAAGGGGTTCTAGATCAACTTCCGGCTTTCATCCAGATAGATCTTCAAGAGAACCCATGGGACTGCACCTGTGACATCATGGGACTGAAGGACTGGACAGAGCATGCCAATTCCCCTGTCATCATCAATGAAGTGACTTGTGAGTCTCCCGCTAAGCATGCAGGGGAGATACTGAAATTTCTGGGAAGGGAGGCTATTTGTCCAGATAGTCCCAATTTGTCAGACGGGACCATTTTATCAATGAATCATAACACAGACATACCTAGATCACTTAGTGTGTCGCCTAGTTCCTATCCAGAACTACACACTGAAGTTCCACTTTCTGTCTTAATTTTAGGTCTGCTTGTCGTTTTTATCCTATCTGTCTGTTTTGGGGCTGGTCTATTTGTCTTTGTCCTGAAACGTCGAAAGGGAGTGCCAAATGTTCCCAGGAGTGCCAACAACTTAGATGTGAGCTCCTTCCAATTGCAATATGGCTCTTACAACACTGAGACTAATGATAAGACCGATGGCCATGTCTATAATTATATTCCCCCACCTGTGGGTCAGATGTGCCAAAACCCCATATACATGCAGAAGGAAGGAGACCCCGTAGCCTATTATAGGAACCTGCAAGACTTCAGCTATGGCAACCTGGAGGAGAAAAAAGAAGAGCCAGCCACACTCGCTTACACAATAAGTGCCACTGAGTTGCTAGATAAGCAGGCCACACCACGAGAGCCGGAGCTGCTCTATCAAAATATTGCTGAGCGAGTCAAAGAACTCCCCAGTGCAGGCCTAGTCCACTATAACTTTTGTACCTTACCTAAAAGGCAGTTCGCCCCTTCATATGAATCTCGACGCCAAAACCAAGACAGAATCAATAAAACCGTTTTATATGGAACTCCCAGGAAATGCTTTGTGGGGCAGTCAAAGCCAGACCACCCTTTACTGCAAGCTAAGCCGCAATCAGAACCAGACTACCTCGAAGTTCTGGAAAAACAAACTGCAATCAGTCAGCTGTGAAGGGAAATCATTCACAACCCTATGGCATCCAAAGATGCCCCTCCAAACCGCTGGAAGCATTGCATTTGCTTTCGTGTTTGTGTTCTCCCTTTCCCAGTGCTGACCGGGGACTTGGAACATGTTTGGGAGATAGGGTGAAAACAGTGATTCTGCTTTTGCAAGGTTTCCTTTAAATTATTTCTCTAGCTCTCTCCCACCCTCACTTCTCTTCTTAGGAACCATCAGTGACAAGAATGTTTCTGAAATGCATTTTTTCACATATTTTGTTTATGGATCTGTTTCTGTTTTCTTCTTCTTCTTTTTTCCAATGTGGGAGTGAAAAGAGATAACAGTGAATGAAGGAAGAATAGGCAGACTTTCCAAATGCAAATAGTAGTGTATTTTGTCGAAGATCTCCAAAGATCTTTTGAGTCTACAATTTGTTTTGTAAATAGTGATATGTGGTATTTCCATCTTCAGTACCATCTATAGCCACTGGACATCACTTCTTTGTGTTAAAGTGCCTTTGCACTTTAAGTACATTACTTAAATGTTGCTTTTAGCTTTGATAAATTGAACGTATTTTAATGTGTTGTATTTTTAAAATTGAAAACACTGTAAAATAGATTCATATGTCAGCTATATTAAGTCAACATACAGTTTGCTTGGGTTATAGAAGCCAGCTTGTCATCCAATGATTCTAGTTTTAGGACTTTATAAACTTAACTGTAAAACGTTTCTTTTCCTCTGGGTTTAAGTGATTTTTATTTAAGTCAAGCAAGGGGATTTAACAGTGGACTAGAGGTAATAAGTCATCTCAGTTGGGCTTAGTAATTCATTAATAAAATATATTTAACCCAATATCAGAGTGAATTGAACAATTAATGCCCTTCAGTACATCATCATTTTACACTAACATGGTCAGTGTTTTAGATTATTTTCCTAATTAAGAGTGCATTATACAACTTGTAATATATTTTTTCTGCATTAAATTAGATATTTTTATATATTTAAATGAAAGAGTCTGTATTTCTAACTTTTTAATTGAAATTAATATTTTTTCTGCCTATGGAAACATTTTCTATAAACACACACACCAGTAGAGGCCGCCACACACCTCATTTAACCAAGACATAAGAGCCATTGCATACCTTGAAGAAAGACTTCAAAGGTGAGATTTTAAACTTCCCAAATAAGTTCTCTGTAAATTCAAGGCAGCAGAGGTAAAAATGTATACGTAACGCTGTATTTCATTTAGGGTAACACTTAGACTCAGAATTCTCAATTTTCACATTTTCTGACAAAGCAACATTTTCCTTGCATTTAATTCAAGCATTTAATGGGGTGCTATGGAATCATATATACTATTTGCATCTCCAAATTCTTCAATAGTTCCCAAACTAAGACAGTAAGCATAATTTCCTTCTGCCTTCTCTAGGCATGTTGTACTTGAAAATGTCCTAGTCTGCTTGAGCAAATCTTTCATTTTGGTCTTAGCATTAAAAGGATTTTAATTAATCAAGTCTACATAACATTTATGAAGCCTTATTGCCTGTAAATAATTTTTAGTTGCAAACATTATCGTGTGATTTAAACAAACAGCCCTTCTTTACAACAAAAAATAGTTTTGTTTTGTCTATTGTAAATCCTTATGCAACTGGGAGGGTGATCTGCATATAAAGTAGTCCAGCTTTTCAATTCCTTATTAAAGCAAGTGATGGCGTCTGAAAGAAGCACACTGTTTCCTTTTCATAAATAGGTTACTTCACATAATAATCCTTTATTATCATGTGGAGATTGAAGTGGATCCTGATAAGTTACTTTTACAGCTTTAAAATGACTAATAGTATATTGTCTGCCACTTTTAGCAATTCATTTGACAGGTTTTCAATTGGAAAATACTTAAATCCAGATTATTTGGATTAATAAGCACTGGTGCCAAATACATTTTTTTAAAACCAAGTAGAAAATTGTGTACCTATATTTGTAAATGGAATTCAGGGAAAAATGCCTTTAACAATCTAGTCTCTGAATAGCTGTATGGTGAACTAGCATGTTCATTCTTTGATTAGTGATCACAGTTCTTATTTAAACATATTAGATCAAAATAAAAAATAGTGGACTGGGGTGATCTACCAGGAAGTCAATATACAGAAATTCTACATTTTGCAGAAGAGAAGTTAGAATATTGACCTGAATGACCTTGGAGACAGTTCCTAGAAACAACCTCATCTTTGAGAGACATGTTTATATATACAAAACAGTTTAAAAAATTCTGCACTTGTTGGTCTCTTTTGGCATAGTGAATAATAAATACAGGCGATGAAAACAGTGATAAATACAGAGGTAGGTATTTGGGAAGTTATTATGAAAGAAAATTAGCACATATCTATTAAGATGGCTTTTAGACTTAAATTATATGATTAGAGCCATCAATGTAGTGATTCTACTTCACTGTTCTTTTTCTCCTAAGAGTAAAGTCACTCCTATAAAATTCCACTGTCCAAACAAAAATTAATTTATTGATCTTAATGAATTATATCTTAAACTTCACTTCTATAATTTTCAAAAGGCCTCCTGGAAAAAACTCAAATTTATAAATTCATACATTTTTGCCCAATAATTACATATATATATATATATATATATATTCATGCTTCTCTATTTGCATTATGTTTTAAGATGAAATTCTTCAAATGTAGCCCAGACTATTTCATTTAAAAGCATGGATGAACCTTGGGTTTTGATGTTTCATTTTTGAATCCAATCCTAAAAACATCAAAATTTTTATTAATGTATTAGCATCCTCACTAACTATTAGATGTCCTCCTTTATCTGATCAACTCCTATCAGAAACACTTTATTTCAGGAATTTTATTTTAACTCCTTCCAGCTGCATTTTGATGAGTGTGAGCAAAATGAAATGGTTCCAGCCAAAAGAATGCTGTTCCCAGGGCCCTGCCTGGAACAGGTCTGGAAGTCTGGCCTGCTCTGCGTCAAGTGGTAATCCTTTCAATTCTAGCTCTTAATTTAATAGTTGCTTCCACTGTTTCTGAGCATACCAGTGGCTAAATTAGTAGGGAGATAGTAAAAATTACCACTTCTCAGACTGAATACCACTACCATGTCTAATTTGGTTGTGGACTTTGGTCAAATTGTGTGCCTTGTTTCTCCAGCATTCGGTGAGTAAGGAAATCACACTTCAATTTCCTCTTCTTGATCCTCTGTCCTCTAAGGTGACTTAATTTTTCTATATGATTCTATGTCATCAAGGGCTAAACATTTTATGTATTTTAAAAAAGAATATAATGAAGAAAAAAGAAGTTCTGTCATTTTTCAGACCTTGAAAATTCACTTCGATTTTACACATTCCAGAAACATACTGGATTCAATGTTAGAGTGAAGAAAGCCTTCCAATAATTCTCCTGATTAATTTGATTTTTCCATTCACTGATTCAATAGTTCCTGAGAGCTTTCTTCTTAGGCACTAGGTTCTGTTGTATGCTTATGGGGTACAGAAATATGTACTGTAGACAGGATATCTTCTACCCCCAATCCTACTCCCACAGGACGACCCTCTTCCCCTTGCCAGCCTGGCAACAAGGTTACTAAAAATAAAGAAAAACTTTTCCTGAATGAAAATCGCCCAGCGGCAATGTTCATGCAATGCAGGAGGTTGCATTTTTAAAGCTAGTTCTGGGCAGTAACGTTTAAAACTGATCTATCACAAACAGACTAACTACAAAGGAACCATTATTAACATCTCTTTGGACTTGCCCGGCTAGAAAGGACAAAAAGGAACATTGAAACAAAAAAAAAATTTACTACAGATTTGGGTTCAATATTATGGCCTGAAGTTAGCTATGTACTTGTGCATCTAAAGATCTCCTTCAGAGTTGACTACTGAGTTTGTAAATATAAAATCATAAACTTTAAATTTTTATGGAATATTTATGTTTCAGAGACTTTTTACTTTTGATTTCAGTGGCTTAAAAGATAATCTTTTGGCTTACATGTATTTTACCAATAGAATTATATGACAATTGTGAGAAGAATATTAAGTACTGTATATAGGTGTACTTTTTTCTCACAATGGTTGTACAAAATGTCACGTGTAAGTTGCAGTTTTGTAAATCAAATTCTATTTTAAATGCATTAAGGGAATTGCCATTTAGAGGAAACTGGTGAATCCCTTTATAAAAAGGAGCAAAACCTTTTCTAATACAAATAACCACTCTTAAGTTTTCTATGTTTGGATTTTCAATATTGCCTTTGCTTAAAATAGAGCCCATGTGAGTAAGTGTTTTGCCAGTGCTGCTGGTGCTACCAGTTCCTTGGTTGCTAAGGGCTTATACTTGAAAGGCTGCTGCAGTTGTTGTTGTTGTTGTTGTTTTTCTGTGAATTAAGCCATCCAGCGATTCTATGATGGCATTGTAACATTTCTTGAACAGTCCAAGTAATCAACTCACTTCAACTCAATTGAACATAAGACTCTGTTGCTGAGCAGTACCTCCCTTCCCAGATAGGATCATGTTTCATTAGAGGGTAGAGTGACTCCTGTATTCACATCCTATAAAGTGCTTAGAGTCACAGGATTTAGAAGAAATATTTGTTATTATGTAAACATACTGAATTGCATGTGTATTGGGATTTTTTTAGCAGTATTTTAGCTTGAAAGTACTTGTACAAATGCTGTTAGATTTAGTTGCAAATAATTGTCATTACTGGAATAAATGGCAAATGAAATAAGTTCTTGTGTAAATAGACTTCTGTGCCAAATAGTGACATTGTTTAAGAAAATAAATGTCATATTTTGGGCTGTTAATAGGCAAAATGAAATATGGGAAATGTGATCAAATGATACTGTATCTTACTGGATAAACTGTTTACACAGTTACTTTATGCTGTAGTTAGCTTTCAGTTAATAAATAAATATTCACTAAAAATGAACATTTGAATCAGTTAGAGGCATTTTTTAGATTGTTAATAACAAAATGCTATATAATTTGTCCTCTTTGCCTTGATATATATTGCTCAAATGCTTTCGATATAGGTTTTTATTCTTTACTTGTTATTGTTTACATATTTAGAGTAAA